ATGAATTCATAAAGATCAAATCCAGATCTTTTTGAATTTATAAAGATCAGATGTGCTACCTGGGAAGGGCCACATCCAAACAGCTTGGTCAGCGCCTCGATCATTGTCAATCGTTGTTCTTCGTATCGAAAACAAGACCAAAACACATGTTCTGGAGTCTCCAGTTCCCCACAGTATGAACACTCTGGGGAGTCCACAATAAGGAACCTGAACAAACTATCCCTAAGGGATGAATGACCGCTCCTCAAACGATTAATCGTTGAAAATGCTCTTCTACTCATAATTATTCCATCAAACCATGATCTCCTGAAGTCAAAATCCTCCCTATCAAAAAAGAAAAAAAAGAATCTGGAGCCCCTGAAGATCCTCTCTTCGTATCCCCACTCGATCGAGTCCCTGAAAGAGTGAGGGTGCCATTACATGGAGCGCGGAAACGCGGAAACGCGGAAGACAAAATTTACTAGATTTCCGTCGATCCGTTCCGTCTGTTTTGAATGCCTTGTATTACATGGAGCACATTTTGAGCGGAAAAGCGGAACGGAGAATTATAAAATATTAATTTTTAACGGTATTTATTGATTAAAATGCTTGTATTTAATAGATAAGCTGAAAAGATAAGCATATTAATAAAAATTGCAATGAATTAAGTGAACACAATTTTAAGAAATAAATACAAATGTCTATTTGTCACTATACTGTTCCGCTTTTCCGCGCAAATTGTGCTCCATGTAATATAAGGAGAAACAAGCTCGCGGAACGAACGCGTCAAAATCCGTTGTCAACACGGATACAGTATACTCCATCAAATTTCGGAGCTGTCTAATCACATTGAAAAGGAAAGCTTTTACATACTTCAATTACTTTATTATTTTATAAAAGTGGCAGTATAATATTATAGATCCAAACATCATGTTGATGGTTATTATGAAGTATCTTATGCAAGCCAGGGTACATACATACATACATACACGATACTAGCGGATTCCGCTTTTCCGTTCAAACGTGCGGGACTCAAGTCGCGGAAACGCGGAATCTAGTTACTATTCTGTTCCGCGTTTCCGCGTTTCCGCGCTGCATGTAATGGCACCTGAGCCTTCCAAAACCGCTTCAATTCCTTATGAAGGATCTCGTTGACGTCACCATGGGGTTGATCACAGGCAGACTTGGCAGCCTTGTCCGCCAGCTCATTTCCATGGATTCCTCTATGGACCGGTCTCACAGTCTCCGATTAGGGCCCGGACACACACTTTTTCGTAACAGTAACAGTAGGATTTCGACCAATCGTGTTACTCGATTCGGGAACGTACGGCTGTACGTTTTCGAATCGAGCAACGCGATTGGTCGAAATCCTACTGTTACTGTTACGAAAAAATGTGTGTGGCCAGCTTTAACGTGATTCTTCGATTAAACTCACTCTGCATCTCTTTCTAACTATCCCCCTAGAAAGAGACGAAGAGTGAGTTTAATCGGAGAATCACGTTAATCGGAGACTATGAGACCGGCCCTATGTGAGGGAATCCAAACCAAATTTATATTCCAACCCTTTCTCTTAAACTCAATCAATAGATTTCTCACTTCTAAAACCAAGAAAGAGCCACGGGAAGGATCAAAATTCGAGGAAATCGCGAGCAAATTGGACAATGAGTCCGAGAAAACAAAGGCTTCGGTCCATTCCTGCTCCTCGCAGATCCGAAGAGCCCTCAAAATAGTCATTGATTCCACAGTATAGGAAGACAAGAAACCGAAAGTAGATGAACTGAAAAGTATTTCACCGGATTGTAAAACCACGGAGTAACCCGCGGAAGTCTCGCTCTCCTTTTTGATTGATCCATCTGTGAAAATGGCCCTGTTTGAAAGCAATTAAGGCCTGGCCGAAAATCTCATTAAATTTGTTAGAGGGAGAAGGGTCTCCTTTAGTTACATGACCTGAACACAAGTCCACCTCCACATGCGAGAAGAAAGCCTCATAATTTCTCGGAAAACACATCGGATATTCCCTTAAGATGTTATAAACCAATCACAGAGCCGTATTAGCACAGTATAAGTAAGAACAGTAGGTTCACTCCGTGTCGGATCTATTGTTCTTCGTGGCAAACGTCCGCCATGATGTTGATTGCCTGATCGTGTTTTATTTGAACCGCTTACTATAGAAATCGTTTGATAATTATATAAGAAGTGAAAAAAATATAAGAAATATATTAATTAAATATTCAAAGCAAAAATGTCACAACACACGCACATAAGTAAAAAATACATGCGCGCTTTATTTGAATAACAGAAACCGCTTGTGATAATTATATAAGAAATGAAAAAAATATAAGAAATATATCATACATAGATATTAATTAAATATTCGAAACAAAAATAATGTCACGACACATTTTATTCATGTATATTTTATTCATTTTATTTATGTATTAATTTTTTTATGTATTTATTTATTTATTATCTTATTACATAATATTCAAATAGCATATTTGATAAAAGTTTACAATAACTTACACAGCTCGGATTACTTTGACCTTGACACTTTGACATATGTTGTCAAGGACATAATACTGAGTAATTTTTCCTTATAACTTAATCGGCGGTCGCTGCTTATTAAAAAGTTATAAACAAAAAAAGTTTGAAAAATATAGCAGTTATTTTGAGTATTGGAAGGCATAAATGACTAATATATATGTCGAAATAGTTCACGCATACACTTTTCACGTGAACCGAGGTTCAACCACACCCCCCTGCTTTCGGGGGATGTGCGGTAGCCCCGAAATAGTTCACGCATATAGACTTTTCACGCGAACCGAGGTTCACCCACACCCCCCCTGCTTTCGGGGAGGTGCGGTAACCCCGAAATAGTTTACGCATGAGTTAGTTGACGCGCTTTAAACAATTAAATACTGTTAAAGCGCGTCATCTAACCTATGTAGATTAGTGACGCGCTTTAAACAGTTAAATACTTGTAAAGCGCGTCATCTAACCTGCTACGTACTTTCCAAACTTTTTTTGTTAATAACTTTTTAACGAATAACGAGCAACGGCTAAAACCTTCTGAAGGTCACTCGGGGTCATGACCTTGACAACATATATCAAGGTCATTGAAATCGGTGATGTCGCCATTGCAAACTTTTTTTGTTAATAACTTTTTAATAAACAGCGACCGCCGATTAAGTTATAAGGAAAAGTTACTCAGTATTATGTCCTTAACAACATATGTCAAGGTCAAAGTAATCCGAGCTGTGTAAGTTATTGTAAACTTTTACCGCATATTTTTATTACTGTATTTAGATATATATGTATCGGCGCGTATTGTATTTGTACTTATTAAAAAAATTTTTTTTGAATGAAATTATAATATCATGAATAATAAAAGTGGTTATCGATATGTATTTAAAGATTGTGGGATCAAAGAAAACTATTCTGATTTCCGAAAGATTCAGAAAGGTACGTATTCATTATAACAAATACATAAATACGTTAAATACACATAAATACATAAATATGCATTAACATATATTAATACATAAATAAATATGCTCTTCGTATATTATGTAATAAGATACATAATAAATAAATATATTAATACATAAATATATTTAATGCATTCAAGTCTTTTAATATATTAATGTATTAATATATTTATGTATTAATTTTTTTTATTGTATTTATTGAGTACCTATGTATCTTATTACATAATATACAAATAGCATATTTATTTATGTATTAATGTGTTAATGTATTTATGTACTCATGTATTTGTCACAAGTCATAATGAATACGTACCTTTTAAATTATTTCTGAATCTTTCGGAAATCAGAATAAAGTTTCCTTTGATCCCACAATCTTTAAATACACATAGATAACCTCTTTTATTACTTATTATAATTTTTATTTAATATTTTTTTTTAATAAATACAAATACAACTGACGCGCCGATGTATCTAACCAAATGAACTGTCAGATGACAGCCGCCATGTTATTGATTGCGCGAATCGCCATATTCATTTACCAACTTCTTTAGAGGAGACAGCCATTCTGTTTAGGCCCTCAGCTATTCTGCTCAGGCCCTAAGACATTTACTTAAGGCCATTGCACGTAACAAAGTTTTAGTCATAATCGTAAGGCCGTATGAAAATAGACCAATCACACTCGATTATTCTTCGAGCTCAAGGAGAATAATCGACAGTGATTGGTCTATTTTTTTACGGCCTTACGATTATGACTAAAACTTTGTTACGTGCAATGGCCTTTAAGACGGTCTTGAAATAAGATTCGACTATAAATACCTCAATATACATATTTTGTAGCATTTTAAATGCTCCAGACAAATATCTTAAATAATATGGAACATACGGAAAAACATTTTAGACAAAAGTTGTAAGATATCAAGGAGGACAAATAATGGTAAAACCAATCAAAAATAGAGATAAATTATATATCGCGCTAAATGCTCTGCAACGATCGCAAGGTTGAACATTTAAATTAAATTAAATGTACAAAAATTATAATGTAATTTTTTAGAGGAAATGGCAGACAAATTCTGCCAATGTTCATAGTAGCTTTCATGTTTAGTTTCAGAACAGTATAAATTTTACAACAAACTTCATAGAAAGCTGTTTTAGAAACTGTTATATTTTAGTAACTGTGGCTAGAAAAAGTATCACAGGAGGTATATTTCTAAACGAATTCTTGAAAGAGACTATACGGTTGCGGAAAGAAATATCAAGAATTTACTGACAATGTTACTATGTAGCTTTTTTGCAGTGTTTTGCCGGACAATTATTTCAAATAACACTATGACATCAATGACACTATCGCCCGAAGAAAGTCAAATTATGAAAAAGAAAGAAAAAAAAATTGTTTAAAAATAACAAAATTATAAATAAATATAAATGTTTTGTTTTTATTAGACATTAACTTTTTTTACAACCTAATTTACCAGATAATTTTTACAAAGTAAGTTTGTAAGTATAAAAAATTAAAAAGTAAACGTAACTAAAAACTAAATTAATATGTCCTAAACTAGTAAACAAAAACTATTCAAATTATCCGTCGTATGTATAGACGGACACATGCGGATATCTCTGCTTCCACTGATTAACCAATTGATCGCTTATGTCACAGTGTATGAAACAAAACTCTTGCAGTTTAGGACATTGTTCAAAAATAACAGAATATTTATTAGGTGTATGAAATTTCACAAGATGAAAAAATAACTTTTTCAAGTTTTTGCACTGTGCTAGTAATTCCAACTGGTGATCAGTGAGGGCAGCAAATAAAATATAAATTTCTTGTAAGTTTTGATAAGAGGAAAGTAATTTAAATAAGCTGTCTGAATAATCGAATCTGTAACTAAAATTATATAATTAATACAGTACTTTAATTGCAAAGAGGAAATTTGTGTAATTTTTTCAAGATGCACACAAGAGAAGCAAACAAATTTCAATAAAGAATACAATAACATGTATTTTAAAAGAAAATGTAGCACACATACTTACACATACTCCGCAAAAACAAGATGCACTTTTCGTAAATTCTTACAGTTAGCGAGGGCACTAATACCATGAGGTGTAAGATAACGTGGATGCAGTAAATGTATTACTTCCAAGCCACGACACGAATTTCCCAACTCTAGTACAACTGCTTCTTCGTTTATAACCATACCGGAACCTAACTCACGCATCCGTTGATTTTTTTGCAGTATTTTGCAAAGTTGTTGAGCTTTTATACGTGTACCACAAAGGTATAAACGTTCCAAACTTTCCAGCTTCTCGAGGTACGAAAATCCTTCGTCGTCTATGAGTTCACAATAACTTAGATCCAATTCTGAGAAAAATTTGTATTAGGTATATACAATTTACCCATAATCTTGATAATTATATACTATATGCATATATAAATACATATACCTTTCAATTTTTTGCATATTTCTGAAGTTTTAAGTAGGGCATGACTGTTAACAGATTTGCAGGCATACAGTCTTAAGTGCGTTAAATTTCTGCCGCAATTATCAAGAAAGTTTACGAAATCATTAACATCAAAGTTGCTTTCTGTAAGATCCAATTGTCGCAAATATTCACATCTAGATGTAAAGTAACAAAATATATCGCGCATATATGTGTGAAATTTAACGCATCGTATGTTCAAACGCACATAGAGTAGAGGGTCCCGTATTAATTTATTGAAGCGTTCATCTACATAACTCATGCAGCATAACGTCGTCAGATCTAAGTAGTTTAATATTTTTAGTAGTATTTCATTCTGCAAAGATAAAATATATAATTTTAATACTCGAGATGACATTACAATAAATATTATGATGAGAAATAGATCACTTATAATACTTTACCGGAAGCGCCAATAAATTGCAACGTGATAGGTCCTTGGATTCATCCGAAGAGAGTTTCATACGCTTTGCATAATTTGAAGGACTTTTTAATAAAATACGACGCGAATATCTCCATCCAAGAGGTTGCTCATAACAAGGGATTACTTCCTGAGATATTTTTTGCTTCAAATTATTCTTATAAGAAATCCTTCTTATATCGCTGCAAATATTATCGGAACAAATTAAGGGGATCTTGGACAGGGGACAATTACTGACAAAAACAGTCAGGGCTCGTTCTTTGAAACGGCTTTATAGATCGCAAAATCCTTTTACAGGAGTAAAGTATAAGTACTAATAAAGAATGGGAATTTAAAAAATTAGTGATAATTGAAAAAAAATGTTGTCCTCATAACCATATTTTCTAATATAAACAGTTGTATAGGTTACATGTACGAAATGAAATGTTTCCACTCTTCAGAATACGTGCACAAACAATAACGTACCTTTGAAATTGAGATTGAAAGCCTGGAAAAAAATTCTGGGCTTGGAAGAAATCGTGAAGAATCGTGAAAGACAGATACAGGAAATGTATCAAAATTAAAAATGTTGACATTATCGACATAGAGAAAGTTCGGCCGTCACTCCAGCATCCCCTTAATTTTTAAATTAATTTTTATTATTAACAGAAAACAATTAAAATATTACTTAAAGTCGACGATAATAATACCTTTTATAAATAATACAATATTCGGGAAAATTCTGTTGCAGATGAACTATATCCAAGTGTGCACTTTTTAAATCTGCTGTTAAATTATGAGCATCGTCATGCTGGTATGGAGAGTACATCCTGTTAATTCTTTTTAACAGATTAGTTAAACTCTCGTTAGGATTTCTAGACAGGATCAATTCTGATGTACCGATGAGCATCACAGCATCTAGCTTTGTGTAAAAGAAACGTGAACTGTTTTTAAATGTTAGTCTGAGCATTTTGGTTTTAAAGTTACACTGATGCGACAAGGGTGGAGAAAATAATCTTGATTTTGGGGGTACAATCTGAGACGATTCATCCCACAACTGAATCCAGTGATTATTGGAATCTTGAGCCGAAATTTGAATTACGTTTCCAGGATGATGTATTTCGTAAATACAGACTCTGATTGGATACACAGCTTCATGAAACTCGATATCTTCAAAATAAAAAATATATAATTATACTCTCTTCTCAACAAAAAACATAACTTCTTTAACAATATCTCATAATTCAAATATTACATACACATATAATTATTTTCCTCCGTCTGATTCCATTGCCAAATAGACTCAGCCCCATCACAAATATCTTTGTTTTGCCATGGAGATATCGAAATATCGATACGGCTATAGTATCTCTGAAAAGTCAAAAAGTATCAAATATTACAAACTTTTGTAAGTTTGAATTGCGATTATTGTACGGGACAATAATGTTTAATACCAGGAAATATACATACCAACATGTTTTCATAAAGAAATGGTAAATGAAATAGTTCTCCATAGTTTTGAAATTTGGGTGGTCCAATTATGTCAGGGGCAGTATGGAATATGCTAATATTCTGATGGTTCTTGGAAACAAATCTCTTCTTCGCAAATTGATAGATGAAGTCAACATTACCCTCCTCTCCTACGGATACTCTGCCGACATAGGGATATCGACTACAACTCTCGCTATATAAAGGTTGATAATGGGATGTCATATTTTCTCTGAAAAAAGACGAAAAATATAGAGAATAATAATCCTTGCTTTTGTGTAATATATGTTAAAATGCATTGTATATCATGTATTTATTATAATTATATAGCGGTAAGATTATATATAATTAGATTAGATTATATAATCTAAATTTATCCTGTTTCCATTCACATGTGGCTAGTACTGACATTATTATTACATAACCTGCATGTATATTATTATTAAATATTAAATAATAATTATTTTAAAGAAAATTACATTTTATTAATATAGATAAACGTTTTTTTATAAATCTGAGATATCGCGAGCTCTGTGTTCACCACGCGTGGTACACGTGTACGAGCACAAAGAAAAAAACAAAAAAAATTACAAAATTTATATTACTCAAATTCGTCACAATTAGGTATACGCTTAATTTCTAAATATAATTTAAGGTCCATTCCACAATAGCAGTATATAAGAGTAGATGTAAATGTGAGCACTGTAAGCAGTAATTAAGCTATTGACTAATAAAATTTTTATACAATTCAAGAATAATCGACTGTAGTTGGTCAATTTACTGCTTACGTCTTACCGCATACTCTTACAGTTATTGTAGAACGGGCTTAAGATTTTTCGAAATGTATTATTTATCTTACTTTTAAAAAATTTATCTTCTATTTCATTTTCCGATACACGTTGTAGTGTGTTTCACTACGTGGGAGAAAAACATACGGCATATACGCATGCACAAGCACCAAAAAAAAAAAATTAAAAAATTTAAATTGCATACGTTCGCTATACTTACGCTTCTAAGTGACTAACTTTTTTCAAAATGTATTTTTTAACTTAATTATTTAATATATCTTTTATCTCATTAATTGTTTGATACAGCGATCTAACAATAAGTTGAACATAAGATTTCACAGTGAATAAAAAGAATTACCGAAAATTTAACTTGGAACTGAATCAAAAAATTAATCAGAATAACTCATTTCTATCAATTTTTATACTTGCTGTTTATCAGCAAGGCAGATTTAATTTTTTTCAACAATGGAAATATTAATCGACTCTACTGGTCATATAATCGCCAAGACAATACGACCACGATTTGGTTCGATTATCGTCAAGACGCACTTTTAATGAATATAAATTGATGTAATCTTTGATACTTATACATATATATAAGCATATCTCATTTAAATAATTAAATTTATTGCAAAAAATATTACTTCAGCCAGGTTTCGAACCTGTAACCTCCCTCATTCCGTGATAATGTACCAATTCGACCACTGAGGTATGTGGTAATATTTATCGCAATAACCTATATTAAACTAAACAATATTATTCCAACCATAGTGCGTGACTGCGCGCCGACAAATCGTCAGACTTGAAACACAATTTTGCTTGGCGTAATAAATTATTTTCTATCTGCCGATCCGAAACTTCATTTTTTTGGCAATAATTAAATAGAGAAACAACTATTCGTCAAAATCTTTTAAGGAAACGTTGTTTTGACCAAACAACATTTACCATAAACAATTAGCAAAATTGTTAATTATAAAAAAAGGTTAAAAAGTTTAGTGCATACATATGGGTCCGTGCGAGACCTAACTTGCTCGGCAACGATATATTAATTTTTCATAACGGCTCTGAGCCCTTAAGTCCTTTCTCCCACCTACTTTTTTTCAGAAAGGGAAGCCAGCCAGGTAGGTTTTTTAATTTTACAGTTACAAGCAGATCTCATTTTGGCTCGAACGCCGTAGACCCACGTATGAATACGGAGGGTTAATTTGTAGTTTGGCATTCAGACACTCCATAGATCGAATTGTAAAAGGCTTCATAAAAAACGGCATTGACTTTGTTAAGAATACAATTGAGTAGATGAAATGAACAAATGTTGATAAAATGGGAGAAATTTAATAAAGCTAAAGCAATCGTACTTAAACACGAACAAAGCTGTAATATTTATTAATTAGAAAAATTATAAACGTTGTTAGGCGTTATCAAGTAGTTGTATAGAATAAAGAATGCAACAATGAAATAATTAGTTTTAAAATATTAATTTTAAATTCCAATATTACTTCAAATTCCATTGCTGCATTTAAAATTGTAGAAATAAAGTTTCCAGATATTAATAAAGAAATCAAATTTTCTGAAAAATTAGCAGAAAGTTTGAATACTTGAATGCTTAATTCTTACATATTTTTTATTATATTTATTTTTTGTTACATATACAAATATTTCTATTTATTAAATAACTGTTATATTTTTATACTATCAACTGTTCGGCAACTATCAATTGTTATAATATTTCTATACTATTAATTGTTTAAGAGTTGATTGAACTCAAAAAGTGGTGCATATTAAATTTAATGAATAATATGTAAGAGAATTGATGTTTAGTCTGATAATTATATGTATAAAACAGCGAAACAAATATCTCTTAAAATGTATCGTGACAGACAAATAGGAAAAAATTAAAATAATTTTGCCCAATTGTCCAATTCAGCACAGAACCTTCTGATTAGTCGATTCAGTGGAAAAAAATTAATTGATACAAATAATAAAATGTATATTATATCTATATAAAAGCTTATTTTGTTAATATGAGAAATAATAAATATGTGTACGCATAAATTAAAATAGGGAGAACACGTGTCCCGTTTGACTACGTTGTTATATTGACTGCGACATATTGACTACATCTATTCGACGATTGATACTTAGGCTCAAGGCTGAACTGGCTGAAGTCACATGACATCTATTTTCCGCGTAAAAGGCCCCCACAGACAGGACGCGTCAAGCGTAAGCAGCGAGCAGCAACCCAATTAAACCCAATCAGTGAAGTGATATCAGCAGTGGCGTAGAAAATATCGTCTCGCTGATTGGTTACTGCTCGCTGCTTGACGCTTGACGCGTCCTGTCTGGGATTTAAGGCCTTGGCACATAGAAAAACTTAAGCAGTAAAACTCAACCAGTAAGCAAATCAGCCAATCACAGTCAAGAACTTAAGGCACGGCCCTAAGCGGTAGCGAATCCATACTGTTGATTTCTTACTGCTTAAAGTTTTACTGCTTAAGTTTTTCTATGTGCCAAGGCCCTTAAAGCCTGATCTACAATGTGCTCTTTGCTTCCTGTTTTTTGCTCTTAACCTGTTTGCGACTATCCCGTATTTCGCAATTGCGTCGCATAACGCGATGTTTTTTGTTCTCTGTCGCCCAAGATAAAAATTGACGAACTTCAGGAGAGACAAGAAACATCACGTTACGCGACGGAATTGCGAAAGACGAGATAGTCGCAAAGAGGTTAAGAGCAAAAAACAGAAAGCAAAGAGCACATTGTAGATCAGGCTTAAACGCCGCGACTCCACGCGACTCGCGCCTGCGCCGCGATACCGCCGCGCACGAACCCGCGCTCCCGCCCCGCGTTGAACCGCGCCGTATCACTGCGCCATATTCCGCCAGCATACGCGCCCGCCAATCACCGCCCGCGTCCCGCCGCGTCAGCGGAATATATAGCGTTCCGTGCACATGGTACAAAGCACGTGTTCTATTCGCAAATAAAACTTGTACGCATATATCGCTCCATCGTTGCAATACGCGGCTCATGAGTATATACATAGCACCAATCACCGTAGGATAAGTTTGCTAATTACGTAGCGTTCCATCCGCGAATAAATGTATATGAAATACGCGACTCATGTATATAACACCGATTACCGCCGAATAAAATCTTTGTTAATTCGTCCGGAAAACCGAGCCAATTGTGTCTCCCTTCGCGCCTACACTCCGAACCCTGACCCAGTCGCGAGATAGATCCGCGCGTTTGAGACTAGGTTGTTTTATGTAAAGTTTATTTCTCTGTGATTGTTATAAGAAAATAATTTAACGCTCTAAATTTTTTTTTCTTTAGTCCATAAAAATATTCTTTTCCATGCTCTGTATTTCTCGTATGCGCGACATTTTTATAATAATTTAAAATTTTTCTTTTTTCACTTTACCTGATAAAGAAGCAAAAAGGTGATGAATAAAGGCACACTAAAAAGAGCGAAGTAAAGACACGTGGTTCTTCTTCTTCTTAATTTATGACATCTGGTTTCCTGCGTAAATTCACTATAATCAGCCTCTTTTTTTTAATAAAGCCAGTAAGCGCCGCGTCTTGTGTAAATTGTGAATGAACGTGGTATATGCAGAATAAATCCAACACACTGATTTTAGTTCTCAAACACTGAGATTATAAGAACTCTGAGTTCGAACTCCGCACTTGGCGACTGCATTCAAAAGAATGAATTCAATGAACCCAGTGGAAAGCACAGAAATATAAAAGTGAAGCAGTGCGCCTGTGGTATTATGGGGGCAGAGTGGGAGACAGAGAACCAATCAGAACTGCCCCTCACATATTGAATTTAAATGTGACCATACTGGATTTGTGGATTTTATGCTCCCCTCTACTTTTGAACGACTGCGCATCCATCGGATTGCTTGATCTTGTATTCTTCCACAATGATCCTATGGAATGAGCAGAGTAGAGTGGGGCTGGTATTCATAGTATTCATACTCGGATCTTATTTCAAGACTATCTTTAAGCCCAGTTTTACAAGTGTCGGTTAACTTTTAATCTTAGGCTGAGTTTCCACTGAGCGCGTCACGCGTCGCGTCATGTGTCGTTATTATCGTTAACCAATCTGAACATCCCCGTCACAAATAAGTGCTGGGGCCCTATTCTCGAATCGTTTTCATGAAACTCGCATGCAAAATTCAATGTTTTTCAAATAGAAAGTCGCATACGAAAATCATTAGGGCAGGCTCGAGAATACGGTCCCTGGTCTACAACCTTGCTTTAAAGGGTATTTAAGCTCTAAGCCGTAGGAAATTGACCAATCACAGTGGAATGTGAGGAGAATACTCGACTATGATTGGTCAATTTCTTACGGCTTAGAGCTTATAAAATACCTTTTAAAGCAAGGTTGTAGATCAGCACTTATAATTAAAACAGTCTTGAAATAAGATCCGACTAACGAATACGGACCTAATGAATACCGGCCTATATTGGTTCGCGGTGCAACGTGGTTTTCCCCTTCGTAAAATCCTCTTTTACCGCCCTTCCTCCCTCTCCCCCCCCGCCACACGTCGATCCTTTTGCCTTTTGCTGTTTGCGACTTCTTCGCCGCGGTAAGGTGGTAAGGTTTAGGAACGCACGCACTTGGCGCAATCATCTGTATGTATATACGTGCGCAAGTGATAGCATGACCGCAGACCGGTGTAGCTGATGCGTGCCAACTGTTTTGCTACGTGTCATACGCGCTAATCTGGTTTGTACCAGGAACTAATTTCGCGTGGCTTTGTCATCCGGTGCTCCTTTCTCGCGTCCGGTCGCCTCGTGCGTTCTCAAGGTAGCATCACGATGGTTTTGAATTTTAAGACTCCGAAAGACTTCTAGAAAGTTCGCGAGTCGACGAATGCTCTGAAACATATGCGTGACGAGTACCGCGGATTGTTGTCGCGTCGATTAGGGCTACACCTGCTTTCGCTGGAATCTAAGATACGCTTTATTAACATTCATTTTATATTTACATTTCTTTACGATTTAATTGTCTCTCCTTTCAGAGCAATTCGTTGCTAGTTCAGAGAATAAAATGCATGTTGGTCATATATGCCTTTCAGAAAAAAACAGATGAATATTCGTCTTAAATAATCTTAGATACGCTTTAATTGTAAAAATACTGATTAATCCAATACTCTAGATATTGGAGCAAAACGGATAAACGCTTGTCTTAATGCAATCGTGATTTGCAGCTGTAAAAGTATGCGGCAGTTGAAGGGGAAAACGAAAGAGACGAATAAACAGAAGAAAGAGCGGAAAAAGGAATTCATGGAAAATAAGCAGCGAGTGTTCACGGTTGTGTTGCCCACCGTAGCTGCGATATTTGTGATAATAGCGGCATACGTTTATGTTAAAACCCGTCCGAAACTCGTCGAATACTAACGACATATGCCACTCCGTTCGTCATCCATTTGTTCTAACCAGAACCCAGACACCGACTGTTCCTCGACAATGCATAAACAATTTCACGCTGCATTCTCATGGTTATACGAAAGTCTTTATACAAAGGAGGCACATTCCACTGCTCTCCCCGAGGGACACGTTGTACCTAAGTACACATTTGGAAACAGAGGATGCCGTTTTTGCAAATGTCCGTATTATTTAATTTGATAAGAGAACCGTATTTTTCAAGCAAGGATTTATATAATATATTAAGACACGTAATAATCGGATATAAGACGTAGGATGATGGATGTTTTAAATGAAAGCATTACAGTATGAGAAAAGTTTATTAATTTATATCTCATTTCTAATAAACGATAAAATTTATTTACGTTGAGTAATATATACATATATATATAAGTTTATCTTGATTGACGTGTCTTCCTAATTATTTTCTTTCGCGCGCTTTTTCTTAATGCACTAGATTTATATAGATACATAATTTTGTTTACGTAATATTCTCTCGATTAATTAAAAAAAAATACATTAAACGTCACAAATAGAAGAAGAGTCCATATCTGCGAAATATAAGTTTTAATAATTAAATCAAATTGGAAAATGTTAACGTGATAAAGCGTTCGAATAATGAATGGGTCCAATGCGATATGAAAATATACTTGTTATATATATATATATATAAACAGCACATTGTGTGTTATATCTTCCTCGCCTCTCCCCGTTAAATTGTTTTGTGTCCTGATTTTTCTCGATTGTCCACTTGGTTACGAAACTAACTGAATTTCAAATATTTCATAAGTGCGATTTGATGCTACTGCTAAAACAGATACGTAGAACTTTACTTTAATCTAAACATGATGTTATTAAAAGAAATAGAAAAAATGTACTATTCAAACTTGAAAAAAATCTATCCATATCTCAATTTGTAATATAATATAATATAATAACAGTGTAGTAATATAATACAGCGACCATATTTTCTGAGAGAAAATAAGGAACAAAATTGAGTTTTGAAAAAATAAATCTAAAGGACAGCTATTTGAAATAAAGGACTATCCTTTACAATAAAGGACAAATTGTACATTGTCACCGTAGGTATATACAAGTACAGTGACCATATTTTCCAGGAGAAAAAAAAGACAAAAGAGTTTTGAAAAAATAAATCTAAAGGACAGCTTCTTGAAATAAAAGACTGTCTTTTACATTAAAAGACGTAAATAAGAATTGAAATATACAGGATATACGTTAATCTTCCATTTTCCGAGAATACAGAAGGAGAACTTTTGTTTATATTGGCCCATAATATTCTCAACTCTCTTTCATCTTTCATCGACAAAAGAAATTCTCAGGTAAAGGGGGGAAAAGGTTTTCGACTTTTCCTTTGTATCTAATAAGTACTATAGACATATATATATTGTCTATATGTACACTACAAGAATTTAGAAAAGATTCTTGAAAGATTATTGTGAAGGGTTCTCTCTCCACATTTGTTCTTCGCGTTTTCTTTTTTATAAACCATATGTTTTATCTCGAATAAACTCTAATAAACAAAAGGAGGTACGAATTAAAGAGGAGTCGTCTACTCCTCTTTGGTACGAGCGTCGCGCTGATAACGGGACGCAGACACGTGGACAACAACCAATAGGAAGCTAACACGTTTCACGCCCTTATGTATTATTATCGCCGGTAGCAGTGGGTAGCAGTTTCTCACTCTCGATCGTCTTGTCGAGACGGAATTACTGCCGTCACTGCCGAGTGCATTGATCGCGATGGATTACACGGTGCTTTTTTCAAGCCTCGTAATACTTTTGCTTTACACAAACTGCATTCAAGGTACTTTTTATATTTGTTTCGTAGAAACGCGATTAAATGCGAATTTAGTTGGTTATGTTACTTCCATCATCGTATTTGTATCTGTTACATTCTGGTATCTTATTGCCGATCTGTTCCCTGGTACTTTTATTCGTTAATCATGATCATATTGTAATTAACGCCACGAGAGTTTTCAGTCTCGTATAAATGTTTCGATACGTAATTGATATACCTCAATAGATGTTTTTTTTTTAGCTGAACTTGCATGGTTCACCTTTCATCTTTTTCTTTTCGTATTGGAGAGAAAAAGAGGAAAGATGAATCGTGCAAGAAGTTCAGCTGAAAAGGACGGGCCATTTGTTAAATGTATCTTAATTTTATCTTATATCTTATATCCATTTTGCAGCCAAAGGGACCAACTATGTGACCTGCGGCTCCGTATTGAAGTTAATGAACGTGGACTATAACGTGAGGCTGCACTCCCACGAAGTAAAGTACGGCAGTGGTAGCGGACAGCAATCGGTAACAGGTACCAATGTCAAAGAAGACGGTAATTCCTACTGGATCGTTAAAGCGGAATCGGGAAAGCAGTGCATCCGGGGGTGAGTTGCAACTATTCGCACGATGATTTTTGTCCTATACACGCAGGTGAATTGTGACGATCTCTTTGACAGGAAGCCGATTAGATGCGGAGATACCATCAGATTGGAGCACATTGCGACGAAGAAGAATCTTCACTCGCATCTTGTTAGCTCACCTCTGACTGGGAAACAGGAGGTCTCCGCCTACGGGGATCACAAGGGTGAGGGTGATAGCGGGGATAACTGGATGTTGATATGCCAGAATGATTTTTGGGAGAGAGATGATACGATTATGTTGAAGCATATCGATACCGATAAGTAAGTATTCACCTTTATGGACTTAAGTATAAATAAAAAAATAGTGCTACCAAAGTATGTAAATTATATCATGCGTTTAGGTATTTGGCTGTCACTGGCAGAACTTATAGTTCTCCGATTAGCGGACAAGTCGAAGTAGTGGGTGAATACTCGCCGAGCAGTCCTCACACACAATGGTCGGTAATGGAAGGATTGTTTATTCATCCTAACGACTTTAGAGCACAGCATAATCAGCATACAGAATTATAAAGACAATTTTTATAATGATAGCTTTAGTCTACAAAGTATGTACATATGCGTCGCAGAGTGCGTGAATAAGTTAAGGAAAAAGTGCAGAATTATACTACCAAAAAAAGCATCGTTCAAATGTCATTGAATGATGTTTTCTTCTCGTAAAGCTGCGCTTTCAAAACTTTCGAGATATTAAATGTCAATGTTACATTTTGTTCGAGCAAAAATTATAGACATTGGTTTAAAGTTCACAAATGAAACAATTATATTGGATTGAAATTTAAATGTTCTCAGTCCTGCTATCTTGTACTATCGTCACTATTAAAATTTAACATTTGGTGATGACTCATGTGTGTGATTTAAATTAATAAATAATTTAAAAAATTAAAATCAGTTCTCAAGAAGATATTTATATCGAGCATATCTGACAAACACAAACGCAATATGATTTCTACGGAATACTTATCTAAAGATAAAATGTGTTCACTTAGTTCAACAAAAAATTAGTTTCTGAATCGAACCTCATATTGAGAAATATGAGAATTAATTATTACACGATCTGGCAAGTGATCTAGACCCAATTTTCTCAACTATAAGCATGGTTGGATTTTGAGTTTAGTTTTACCTGATAGTAATTTCTTTCTAGAGAAAAGTATCTATATCTCATTCTCAGAAAAAAAGCCAAACCGGAAATTCTGGGTTTGCGTTTGTGTTTGCCTTATTCTCTCATATCTTTACAATGTCTGAATCAGAAAAGCAAGCAGGTGTAGCAAAAATAAAAACTTTTTATCATACTACGATATTCTCGCCAATCATATATGAAAAGCAATATTCGTAAAATGGGATATTATACAATTGCAAAAGTCAGGTTCGAAAAAAATGTAACCTGTTAGGAAACATCTATCGATCTGTAGACTTAATTATTAATATCCTAGAATATTTGATAATTGTAAAATGCGCTCATATCTGTTCTCTATCATGTATGAATGCGTAAATATGTTGTACATATGACTGTATTTATTGTTACACAAGTATATAAATTAAGAAATATGTGTGTTATATTTAATTTTGAATCTGTTTTATTTATTACTTGACTAGTCTCACACTTCCTTCAGCTCGTACTTGCCGTTGATGTCTCGCGTGCCTATAAGACCGTTATACGGGAATATGATGTTCGATAGACCATAGCTACCAAAGATCTCCCGCACATTTTGTCTCCCCGTCACATTGACGTAACGCTGTTTGCCGGTCAAGCAACTGTGCAACTTCCAGATGCCGATCACCAAACAGATGCACAGGATCGACATCAGCATATCGAATATCAGGAATGGGACTAAATGCGAATTAGACACCTCGAACTTGGCGCTGGAATTCCATATTTTCTGAAAGTTGGAAACCAAAGGCAAGCAAAAGATCAGGAATATATTTATGGAACCCTCGTCGCTCTCCGACTCCGATATGTTGCGACTAATGCTCTCGTACATGTACGGGCCCATCACGCACAGGGTATACAGACACGTTAGCGAGGTGTAGAAGCAGAACAATATAAAGTTGCCCATATTCTGGCGGAGTACACAGGCACCCAGGAAGATGCAGTGATGGTCCATGAAGTGAAAGCACTTGCGGCAGGAGAAGCAGTGCTTTGTTGCTTTATACATGTAACTCTGACAGTGCTTGCAATACCAGAACTTGCAGGCAGTGTCTTGTGCCGGCGGCTGCATATTGTCGAGCTGTTCGAACCTGCGTTGCTGCTGCTTCTGCTGGTGCTCCTGGATGATCACGCTGCACAGGTTGCTCTGCGTCTCCTTGACCTTCATCGGATTAGACTTACAACTGATACTGTACACCGAATACCAGTTCAGGTATACCTGCATGCAGAGGAAGACGAAGATCGGCGAGACCTTCTGACTGACATAAATTGTAATCGTGATGACGAACACGGTACATATTAATGTCACTAATGGGCAAAGTCGCAAGACAATCCTCAGGCAAGTTCTTATATACTGTGGCCGAGGCATACCTCACGATGCTCACAATAGGATACTGGATAGTCTCTTTACATCTACAACGTATGTACAAATCTAATTCTCTGCAGACGCACGACGTGTAATCTGCAGACATCTATTCGGACACGAATTTCTTCATTTTACAAAATTTCCTCTATTGTTTACATTTCTGAAAAGATAATAAATTTGTCAGATGGATACTCTTGGAGATACAATACACTTATTCCGATTTAATGTTAAAACGAAATCCGTTTTTGGTGACAAAGATACACAATTTAATTATTAGGAATTGTCGATGAACATTGTATTATTGATATTCAGCATTTAGAGTCATTCACTGACCTCGAGCATAACCTCAAACTCATTTCCACACGTTTCATCGAGTATATTTAATTAAACAGGTCAAAGCCATCTTCGTAAATAAATACGATCGTCTGTAATGATCAGTGGATGACGGTCATGGCATTATTTTCTTGAAAATGTTCCTATTCCTCGCAAGAGTAACGCGTTCGCACTAACACATTTCGACCCGTCTCAACGTGTGCGGCGTGTGCCATATATGTAATTAAAAATTCAGACTAGGTACTTGATGGTAGACATTAACAAAATAAAAAAACAATGAGCATATCCACATGCATTTGTATGAAAGATATCGTAACTAATTGTGCTAGAGAGATCTCAATCTTTTTTTTTTATACTAAAAATATTTACATTTGTATATTCCTTAAATTAAAAAATTAGACTCTGGATGACATTTCGCAGAAAGCAGAATGGATGATTAAATAAGGATTTAATCACTGACAATCGAGCAGATATATAACAGCTATATGCTATTTATTCTCACTATAAAAAAACACGGATATATTTTACAATTATGCTTATATATCGTAAACGACCATTACAAAACGATAACAGATCTATGTTGAAAGTATGCGAATAAATCATGATTAAAAACATGGTGGAATCTAAACGATTAATCGTAAGTGTAGCACAATATTAAAAATTACTCGTAGAGTGACATATAACAAACTTTTTCCCTGAATAAACACTGAATAAATTCAGAGTCAAACAGGGGCAATCACTTACATAATATATCGGTGTATGTACTACATATCGAAAATCAATTAAAACGTATAGACAATAAACCAATTCATCTTTGAGTTTTGCTCATTAATTGTAAAATATTAATCTTGAGATATAATACGTCCTCTCTCCTCTTTCTCTCGCTTTTCTTCTGTTAGTATATGTATACATCGATATGGACTTTTATACATATTATACATGAATGTAAAATTATAAATATAATTATTGTGCTTACGCTCTTTGTACATTTATGTAAATAACAGCGGTAAATATTTGTCGAATGTATCACTCTTGTACGAGAATATTATTAAAACAGTCTTCAGCAATTATAAATACATAATAATAATATAATTGGAATTTACAAATGTATAATGAAACAAATTTTCAAAAAAGGGCGGAAAAAAAATACAAAAAAAAAAAGAAGAAAAAGAAGAGAAAGATCAGCAACGCAACAATGTGATCAAAATAAGAAAGTGTAGTGAAACAAATTACGCTGTCGTATATTGCCATCTTTTCAAGTACTTTAACCGTGTGTATACATATACATATATAAATACACTCTAAACTAGTTCTACAGAGTTAATCGTTATTCGGAAATTTGAGTTGTGCATGCCTAATATCACACAAGCACATGTACTTTTTTGTACATTATTTTGTACTTTTTTTTTTAATAGAAATAGGAATACGTGTATGCGAGCGCGACAAAGCTACTGCTTGTAAATAGACCTCTTCTGTAACGGAACATCTCGCTCTATATAAATCGTGTAAAACTATACAAATATGTTATGATACGATTTGCGCAAGATTTACCAAAATATACTGTTGCGACGATAATATAATTCGATACTTTCAACAATGGAAAGTGTAAAAAATATGCTCTCAGGATCTTCGCTCTCTTTCCTTCTCTTGTAACATATTCTACGACGCAATCGTGTTTACGATGCACATGCGTACGCTCGATTACGACGATACGTTGCCATTGCTCTGAGAGAAAAGATTTATTATTATGCATTTTGTGTCTGTAAATTCTGTGATTCCTGACACTGTTATTACTCGATATTTATAATTGCTAGAGACTAGTTTAACGATACTCTTGTACAAGAGTAGTATGCTTCACCGCAATTCTCCAATCGGCGCATTCTGAGACCACAGTTCATCAATAAATCTGTATAAAGTGTCACTGACAGCTACCTGTAACAGACATTGAGAAAAAAACACATTTAAATGATTGTTCGCATGTTTTCGAGATTTCAGTGCAGGATACCATGTATAAGAATTAAAAATTCCAAAATATAAGGTATCTTAAAAAGATCGTTAGATTTTTTTGTTCCAAACAATTCTAAGCTTGTTCGAGAAATCCATATTCGATAAGCTGTCTTTAACAATTCTCAAAGTATTAAATATTAATTTTTACTAGAAATAAAATGGTTTGTTCCGCCAACAATAATTAAATAAGAAAAGTTTATTGACCTCGACTTCAATTGGCAAAATAAATTGAAACGTTGCTACGTTTCGACCCCTCGGATCGGGTCCTTATCAAGCAATCTAAACAACAAACAAACAATCCAGCATAACAATAATTTGGTCCGCAAGATAAAATTATTGTTATGCTGGATTGTTTGTTTGTTGTTTAGATTGCTTGATAAGGACCCGATCCGAAGAGTCGAAACGTAGCAACGTTTCAATTTATTTTGCCAATTAAAGTCGAGATCAATAAACTTTTCTTAATTAATTTTTACCTTATAAGGTGTTGGATTCAGATTCCTTTTATGATCGTTACGCAATGTATTGAGAGATTCCTGCACTCTGTTGCGAACTTCTTGCAATGTAGGTAATGGTTGGCATAGCTTTCCGTCTTTCCAATATAGCTGTAAGATACATTTTTATTTATTAATCATAAATTATAAATACCATTAACATTGGTAATTAATATCAATAATGATATGTATAGAGCCGTTTATAAAATAATTTACAGTTTATATTCCTACTTATATATACCGCTACCAATAGAACAAATTATTTAGAAAATGTAAAATACTAATATAATAAATGCAGTAGAATAATTAAATTTTCGCGAAGAAAAAAATTGAACTCTAAATTGATGAAGAAATTTGAATTACACAAAGTTATGTAAAGTAACATCTTTTACACTTATATATTATCGCTGTGTGTGTATATTATATTACGTAACATGATTTGAAAATTCATTATTTCAATCAGATGATACCTTGTGCAGAGATTCCACTCGGGATGGTGTAACATTAGCCCTTTTCGTTTGTTGGAATGGATGTCTGCAGAGAACCTTCTGCATCACTTGCGGTGGCTCCTCCGTAGTTTTCTGCAAGAGATCTATCAGTGCGTAGCCATCTGACCCATACAGTCTATAAGCATCCTTCCTGCCTGGTATCGTGACTTTTCCGACCTCTTGACTGAGCTTAATCCTCGGTTCGTCGTTGATCTCGACCATCTTGTAAACGCAGCCTAGCGCCGGTTGCCTTTGGCATGTCACGAGATGCGTTCCAATGCCAAAGCAATCGATTTTGTGGCTCTGGAAGATATTCATATTCTTTATCATCTATTACTATATTCCGCAATTCATAAATCTTTACCTGTTCATTCAAGCTTATTATGGTCTCCTCGTTAATGTCGTTGGACGCGCAAATCTTCAATTTTGCGAACCACGGTATATCGTACTTAACAGCAATTTTCTCAAAAATATCTCTCGCCACGTTACTGAGATACGCCAAATCGCCGCTGTCGATCCTGATACCAACGGCTTTGTATCCCAAGTCGTTCAAAGCCAACGCTACTGCGCAGAAGTTTAACAGGCCACTCCTATTCGTAAAATATATATCCATGAAACATTTGGGTAACTAATGCTACTCTACAGTTCTATTAATTATAACTAAATATTAAATAAAAAGCAATTCAATCACATACTTTTTATACTATAATTTTGTATAATTATGTAAAATTAAGTCTAAACTTGGCAATTTATTCTGTGAGAATCCTTGTTTCTTTGCTTGTAATTTCTCTTGTTTAATTGAAAAAGTTAAATAAAAAAGATAAAAAATATATATATCTTCAAATTTATTTATATATAAGATTATATAAGATTAAATTAAAAAATAATTTTTTAAAATTTCCATTATATTTACTCTTTGCAACGTCAAATTTACCTCCTTAGATTTGCCAAGTTTAGAACTAAAATGAGAAACATTGCACACAACAGGTTAAGCACATAATAAAAGAGCTAAGATTACTTGAACTTGTGCATTCACTTATGCGTACAAATAGAGCAATAAGTATTTCAACCAATTATTATGTTAGCATTAAAATGTTTCCAGTAAAGAGAATTTAATGATATTCTGACAAACATACAAATATAGCCAATTGATACTACATCGATGCTATAACGAGAACACATTACGATAAATTTAGAGTTTTATTTAGAAATATATATTTTCGCTTTTTTCATAGTATATTTTTTTTGTATATTTGAGTGTTTTAGCATATTTCTCTGTATATTAAACTTGCGACAAGTACGCGACGGAATTGCACGTGTTTGAATAACAGGCAAGATATGTAAGATATTTGTGTAACATATGGAATGTGCCCATATCTCAATTACTGAGAATTAAGGGGCAGAATTGGGAGGGGCACTATATAAGATCACAAGTATGACATACTAACAACTAAATTCAAACGAAAAATAAAATTCTGGTTGTTTTATATTTAATTAGCATGTCATAAAAATAACATGATATGATAATATAGTTTGCAATTTGCCCATTTTACAGAATATTCCTTCATTTAACATTTTTCCAAGAGAAGGATGGAGAAGGAAATTAAATTAATTATGTCAACTATTAAACAACTCAAAGAAGCGTCAAACTGGCGAATTATAGAAATACATCAAAATTAACTTTCTATATGTATATCCCACTAAAAATGCGATCTCAACCATTACTTAGACTTAAGAGTATCAATAAATTTGGTGTGTCGCAAAAGATATTAAAATATAATTCGCAAAGCGTAGATCTGACAAGAAGAAAAGGGAAGAATCGCATTCCGCAAAACAGGCAAACAGAACGATATCGTACCTCACATAGAGCTCACCCAATTCGCCTCGTCTTAATAAGCCATTCTTGTGAGGTTGCGAAGTTGGTTCTGTTATAAATGGGTTGTTTCTCACACCGTTTTGAGCGTGTGTATTGGACCCGTTAGTTAGAAGTTTATTCTTTACATTTAGGCTGGCCACTTGTGCCTGCCCCCTGGCCGACGTCTCAACGCTACAAACACACTCCTGTTAGGCTACAGTGTGTATTACACGTGTCGTCAATGCCTGTTCGCGACGCGCTGACAAAACTAAATTATACAATCGCTAGTGAGATCGAAAAATTAAGAATATAGTTCTGTCTCATTGAAAGACGAACGGGCTTACCGTTCCCTTATGTTAATTACTTTTTATTCGTCTACGTAGAAGATAAATCTATAACGTGATAAAAAAGAGTCTTGGGCTCATAACATAAAATATAACAATATACATTTGATCTTTGAAGCCATAATTACGATACGACAAGTTATATACATATTATATGATGCATAGCTAGAACTATTCTAACTATATACGTGTCACAAACAGCTTCTACCACATACATAAAATATAAGCTAATTTATACATTTGATAGCAATTAACATGCGTAGTATACGTAATGTCTCAAAAAATATGCTTACAATATTTTAAATCATTCTCATTTTGAATCAACTGTAAATTCCAAGATTTCCAAAATATCGCCCGCGCTTTTGTTAATTTAGGCACTATATGTAATTAACAAATAAGTAAATATCTATACTATATATATAATTATCAAAATAAATATCAAATAAATCAATAGTAAAATGATCAATAAAAACATAGCGAATCAATTAACGTAATAAACGAGACATTGTATATAATAACGTAAAGAAATTAATATGAGCAATAAATTTTGTGCAAAGCCCATGCAAAAAGACTGATATAAAGACTGACGCGAGTGTGCGTTGAAAGAAAAGTAACCAAAGCTTACAAGATGCCAATTTCAGAAACAAAAATCAGGCTTTCTACTTAAAAGCATTAAATAGATTAGCAATATAACTACGTACCTCTTAACATCGTATGTGTCCACAAGAGCGGTGAATCTGTCCGGGAAAGCGACGGCATAACTGATCAAAGCCGCCAATTCTCCGCTAGACGCCTGCGAGGCTAGAGCTCCCAAATCATTGGCGATAGCCTCGCGATGATTGCAAGCGAGTTCCAATACATCTAAAACGTCGCCCGTTTGCTTATGCGCCAATGTCTGCAAGAGAAATAAATTAATTGCCTTTTTTCCCTTTCAATTACATTTCTCGCAGAATTTCAACACTTATTTATTAATTGATGAGAGAAGGCTCTTGTCGAATACACTTACTATCCCTTGCAGATCATTGATGCTGGTGAAAGACGTAATATATGCGTGTGCATGTGTACCGCATACAGGTATATCGAACAGTTTTCCAGCCAAGACATTACTAGTCCCATCAAACCCACCTGTAACATAGTAAATTATATTAAATTTAATTTAAATTGCCTCTAATTTAATTTACTTATGTCCCATGTGTATTAAAACATGTGACTAAAATTTTATCTGTTTCATTCTACGTGGTAAATATATAGGATGTATCACAGAAAATTATTGAAAATTATTCTTCTCCTCAGATATGACAGATATGGGGTTTATCATTGATGGTCATATCTAAGACCTGGCAGTTTCATTTTAGTCACTGAAATCGGATGCGTCGTAATACAATCTCACGACAGAAAAAAATTTATCTTATCGAGTCTTATCTTCTTCTTCCGTAGACAAAGTATGCAGTAATGCTTGCAGATAATTTATAAAGTTTAGTAGTTGCTAATAAAAATATTTTAAAGAGATTAGAATTTAAATTTTCTTATCCCTCTATTCTGTTACATATGTTTCATGAGATTTTCGTCCAATTTTAACGCATTAAAATAATTCTACTTTTACTTCTCTTAATTCAATTCTGACAGTGCACACTTCGAAAATATATATCATTAAGATTGACAATACATGGCCAATTTTTTATAAACCTTTATTAAACAATATCTCCAATTGTTTTTTTTTACTTTCAGCAGTTTTCCATGAGACATCCTGTATATATGTATACATGTGTTGAATGTATATATACATATATATATCAAGTCGAAACTATATACCATCAATCTGACCTCCTAAATTGTTACTCATCACCTAGGCAGTACCAACTAGCACTGAGTGGTACAATGTATTGATTTTACTTTTCACGAAATTGTTAAGTAGTATAAGGGCGATGGAGTGGTACCAGACACCTCCGTTTTCATTATATATTGCATTGCGGACTGGCATGCGCATATATACTTGAAACTTTTTACATTTCAGACATTAAATTTTTATATAGATATGATTTATTATGACTTTATATATAACAGATAAAGATATGAATGTTGTTCAAGATATATATGATGTGTAAAAGGATAATTTACACGCTTTATCAACAATCAAGTATTACACGTACATATAATACATATGCAACCAAATCATTCTTACATTATACATTTTTACATTACACACGCTTTCGCAATGTAGGCCATTGCAACGTTGTACAGTAATTGCCATGCACAGTAATTGATATAATGACGTGTGCAATGCGAACAAAAATAGCAACCGGTACCAGTGGCAATTGACATAATTTCTTATGCAATGGAATTTTTTTATAGTCATTAACTGTTTTATTTTGACAAATTGATTGCAATCAGTGAATTTTATCAAACTAAATCAATAATAAAAGCAAGTATATGTAAAATATTTACCAACATAGCTGTACTTAGACGCGCTCAAGCCTCCATCGGGTCCTTGCGCTCTTCGAAGACCAAACTCAAGCAACGTGATATTTTTCCCGGCAACCATGCGATATCTCGCCGCGTTGGTCGCCATCAGACTCGCATAGTTGACCAATGTTAACAGAGTCGTTTCCAAGAGCTGTACCATTATTAATGGTCCTTCTACTCTTATCAAAGGAACTCTACAATTAAAGTTAACAATTAAATCCAAGTAATTTAAATTTATTTAATTAGTGTGATACGCGGCTTGAACGGAAAGTTATCGAAAATCAATTTAGCAGGGAATAAAAATATATAAATCGTTAAATATCTTTTTAAGTTGTAAATAAAAAATAAGTTGTAAATGCTTTAATTTTTTTTTGTTGCGATAGTATATAATTTATTAAAATACTGTATCTAAATGCCAAATTTGTAAAAATAATAAAAGACTTTTTATAAACTTACCTTGGAAATACGACGGATCCTTCGTCTACTGCGTATATCGTGACATTTTTCGCAGTAAGACTTTGCAGATAATCAAAGAATCTTTGGTCTACTGTAGGCATAGTCGACTTCAGGTACTTGATATCTGCCGAAATACCAAAAAAGACGTGCAATATAATTCACAAGAAAGAATAAAGTACATATATAAGTGGAATAAGGAGCCTTGGTGAATACGCACCACTAGGGGAATAATGAAATTTATTCAAGAACTTGATGCACTCATCAAGACCGGCGAAGATCGTGAATTCCCCCTGGAAAGGATTCTTACGGAAGAACAAATCAAATACAGCGTGATCGTTCATCTTGCCGCTCTTCCAGTAGGCGTAAGCCATGGTGATTTGATACAAGTCTGAAAGTAAACATCCATTCTTCAGTATAGGAGAAATAAAACTCGGGGGGTCGAACATGTAAAAATTACAAAAGTGAACAGATTTACTAGATTTCGACATGAAATCACAGATACTCTAATAAATTTCCTCACTTTTGTAATTTGTATCTCGTTTCAAGATACACAATCTCTTATGAATGTGATAAACTATTCAAAGTTTCAGCACTATCTCAAAAAGATCTGAAGAACAGATCGTAGTGGATCGTTCAGTAAAAGGAAAAGTTATGTAACAAACAAATCGCGCCGTTTACCAGGCGATTCAGGCCTGGAATTGTACATTCGATATTTCACGATTAAATATATCAACCGCGTAATATCGCGCCTTTTTCCGCCGGCACGAGAAAATTGCAGTCTCCAGATTGTTGCCCTTTATCTCCGGGGCTGCGTTAACGCGGTGCATACCGCAGGAAACGCGCGCGCGTATACTTTTTGCATGTGAAAGCGGCTTCGTGCCACATTCTAAGCAGGCACATTCTCGCTCGCTTGGACAAATGTAATAAGTATATTCGCCGTCGAGAGTCGGGACACGCCGGCCGAGATGTTTGCGCGCGCGGGGCTTACATCATCGGAATATTTACAAACATAATCACGCTCTCACATCGCGCTTGCCGATCAACGATTACGATCCGCGCACAATTCAGTAATAAACGATTCCTCGTGTACTCCGTCGGCCCCTCGATTACCTCGTGGCGCCGAAGGTAGTCGAATCCTCGAGCATCGCGCGATCACGCCGGTCACGCTCAAAGATCGCTGATCCGATTATTCATTCATATTCAAAAGAAAAGCGAGATATAAAATCCTCTCTAGAAAAAAAGAAAAAAAAACCGTCTTCGCCGCTCGACCGGAAACGCGTTTATTTCGTTTCCTGCAGGCGAGTCACATATCCGGACGATCTTCTCCGGGGAGCAAGATTCTCTCTGCGGGGGGCCGACCCCCCCTTCCCCGCCTCAACCAAGTCCCCCGACGACGGGGATCGAGGTTGAGGTTAGCTCGACCCGCGCGGAGGCGCGTCGCGCCATCCCTCTACCCCTCGTACTGTATGTACGCACGTACCTGTGAGTAGCGGTTGAACGACGCCGTTCTGCCGCGAGTTGCAACACGTCCAGCCATCATCGTCCGTTGACATCTCGAATGGTGGACTGTTCGCGTGCATCCGCTCCCCGAGGTACAGCTCGGCGCTCTCCCTGCGGTCCCTACACTCCCGTTCGCTCCCCGGCCCCGGCCCTGCAGATCCGCTCGCGCTTCCAGTTGCACCCACCTTCTGCACCTTCTGCATCTCGGAAATGAAACGGAATACGTCACGGATACGCACGTATGTGTGCGGTGTGTGCCGCGTTGCGCGCGTAACCCGTTTCGTTAGATATATACATGTTTAAGAAATTAGATCCGTCGCGTAAATAACCTCTACGGACTCTCGTTCCCGTCTGTAGAAAATACAACGATAATACACAGCCGTGCCGAAATAAATTAGTACGACACTGAGAGCGTTAATATAAAGTTCCCCTATCCGGAACTGCCTCGTTATCCGGAGGCACACAAGGGGAAAACAAAAAATCTACCCGACTCCGCGCGACTTAGGTCGAATTTATTCGACGGACGGAGGACGCGAGGAAGCGGCGGGGGAGGAGGGAAAACGGGCGCGCGCGTGCGAGAGGAAGAGGGGGAGGCCTTACTTCGCGACGGAGACCCGGGGGGCCCTGCTGTGCGCTATCCGATCTGCGAATCCGCGACATTCGCGACGACGATCGCACCGTCACTGACACTGATGACCGGTGCCGACGTGATAGCGTCGACTAGCATACCTCGGCGCGAGCCGCGATGTAATATACCGCGACGCGGCTCCCCGAGAATCGATAGGGAACGTTTGAAGGACGGCGCGGCGCCGTTGGCACGGCCTGTTACACACCCGCCTATTGCCCGCTAATTGCCGAGAGTCCGAGAGCCGAGAGCTCCATTTGCGAGGGGAAAGGGGAGGAGAGGACATCCCCCCCCGTTCCCCGTTTCTGGTTTTCCAAGCGCGAAAACGGGGGGTTGCGCCCCACGGGGGCGACGAGCGATTAATTTATCGGGACTATCGGGAGTACTTAACGCATTAACGAAGATGGAATTACTTTAATCCCTCGTTTAACACGTGAAGAAAAAGATTAGATAGAGATAGATTAGATTAGACAACGAATTATGTAATCAAATGCAGTATTTATAGAACTGACGAAAGTAATTCGATTAGCAATTCGATTAACTTGACCGGCGACTATCATTTTCGTTAGAATTAATTTCTTGTTGCTTGATAAAGAGAAAGATTGGACTAATTTAGTCGAGATTTAATCAACGTTTAGTCGAGATTGCTTTTAATCTCTTTATTCGGGGGAGAAAAAGAATGTATTATGATTGCAGTTCTGTATACGGAGCTCTCTCGAATCCTTCACAGATAAGTCTGAAGTCTGATATGAAATTCTTGAAGCTCGATAATTTAAATGACGAAGAACGTAACTCTTAACTGTGATTTGATATTATAGGAAACAGACACTCGTAAAAGAATAACGAAGAAACGAAAGAAAATAGAAATTTTCTCTAACGAAGAATTTACCTGGTGTTGAGAGACAAGAGGATCCTTCGCTCCAGCTGTGCTTTCCATCTCGTTACGCTTGCAATTCCTTTTGAGAGAAGAAAAAGGTCGACCGTTACTAATGTGTAAAATTAACAATGTCTTTCCTGCTTCTTAAACTTGCTTAAATTAAATTAAATTCGGCAGTTTACACGATATAAAGCGTGTATTTCGCGTTCTTTCCCTTTTTTATCCGTTTTTAAGATATATACACAAATCATGCTCGCATCAAAAGAACAATGTCAAAGTCATTCTTTATTTCTTACTAACTTGAAAGGAAACGTTCATAAAGGAAGAAATAGAAAAGAAACCACTTCGTAAATAAGAAACAGAAAAGTGAGATTCTATGACGAAACATTTATCTTATTTAGCACACAAAGGATTTTTGACTACAATTTTCATCCGGGCAGGAAAGAAATTCACTTGTAAATTTGATAATTTGATTTTGATGTGGTCTCAAGTATCTCATTTTCAACGAAGAAAAGAACGCCGCAACAATACCTCCTCTGTCTCGCAAGTAATCTTTACCGTTATATTCTAAAAGTTCGAGAATTTTAATGAGATACAAAGCGTGCATTGTACGCGAGGCAATTAAGTCTCTCCTTTTACATATTCTCCCATTTTTATTTGTTTTTAAGATATACAAATTGTACTCAAAGAACAGCATTAACAGTATCAAAGAATAGTGTACCAAAGAAATATATTTTTTTTACCTTTGAATGGTGTTGTAGATTCAAGATAATTCTTATTCCAAGAAAAGAATTTATTCTATCACTTCACTTACAATAATATCCTTATACAGCACTAGTAATTGACTATGTTATAAACTGCCGCTGCAGTTCGAGAGTCCTCCTCTTATAAGGCCCAAAAAGGGTCTTGTCACTTTTCTGGAAAATTTTAGTTGGTCTACGTGATTCAAAAGGATTTTCTAGTGTTAACCTAAGGGTAAGTCCCGGTCTACAATAGGTGTTTTAAGCCCTAAGTCTTAAGAAATTGTTCAATCACAGTTGAATTTGAGGAGAGTGATTGACTGTGATTGGTCAATTTCTTAGGGCTTAGGGCTTAAAACACCTATTGTAGACTGGGACTAAGCATATCTAAGGTAGGCTACGTGAACGATGGTCACAGTATTATAAGTCAAAAGAAAATAGACGTTGATAAAAGAAGAAAAAAGGCAGGAAGTGAAAAACTTATCTGATGCAGGAGGACAAATGGACTTTGATTTAGTTACGCTTTCCATTGAGCTTGTAATTCCTTTATTCGGAGTAAAAAAGTGATATGTACGAGGTCGACCGTTAACAACGTCAATTACCTTTCGTCTCCTTAAGTAAATTTACATAAAATTCCTGTTTATTCACTGCAGTCATCTTGGGATTGATGACGTGAGAAGCGAGAATATTTATCATGAAAATCCTTGCAACGTACATTAAAATAAAAATGTTTTGCAATAATATAGCGTTTATAATCGATAGAATAATAGACTTATAAAATATGCCAAAAACTTTTATTCGAGTACTCAATGAAAGGACGAAAACAAGCTGTTTGACAGCTGCCTGTCAATTGAAATAAATATTTGCTTTTACATATTAAATACAACAAAGGGATATAAAAATATTCGGTATATTTTAACACTATGACAATTATTTTAAATATAAAAACACCGCATTAAAATGAAAAATAACGCTGTACATTACAAGAATAATGGACCTTTTTAACTTTATTTTTCACGCCTTTTAACTCACAATTTTGCCAAGTGTGACGCGTACAACTGCAACGTAAGTATATAACGCTGACTTGGCAATCGAGCCAGCAGAAGCCTTCAATTAAATTAAATTTTAAAAGTTCGAGAATTTAACGATATAAGCGCGTACAGACGAGGCTTAATCTCTTATACATTATTCTCTTTTTATTCTTTTTGAAAAAAAAAAAACACGAATTGTGTTTGTGTCAAAGGATGATATCAAAGAATCATTTTTAATTTTTAGACGGTATTGTAATTCGAAAGACGAATAGACGTTTATAAAAGAAAAAAAGAGGACTAAGGTTTTATGACGAAAAAAGTATCTATAGAAGAATTAAAAAAGATCTGGCTGTGCTTTCATTCGGAGAAGAGAATATTAATATAATATTTGTCGACGTAATTTTTCTGCAGGGATAATCCCAACTATTTTTTCCTACTTCTTTTTTCACAAAGCTCTATTCTTATAACATTTTGCCATGCTTATTTTCCCCCTTTTTTCTAATGTCTTCTATTCAGAGATAATGGCTACGGTCAACGTGACGCTACAAATGCTTTGGAGCGTTCTTCTCTTTCTTTCTTCATTGAAAGAAAAGAGAAGAGGAATGCTTCGAAGCATTTGCAGCGTCACGTTGACCGTAGCCAATGTTTCACATTCCATTTCAAATTCAAAGACCCGATTACAACGAAATTTTCCAAATCGCCAGTTATTATCGCAATAATATACATTGAGAGAATTTAAGACGGATAAATAACGACAGAGTTATACGTATTATTCTTATATAACAGAGATAACGCAAAGCGACAGAGTAAAAAGGATTTACGCGATAAAGAATTAAAGAGTTATCTTAATTGTGAATAGATAGAGAATAATTAACTTGGCCGCTAAATCTTCTATTAATTCTATTTCAATCGTTGTAAATTTTGTTATATATAATTATATATAAAATATGTCAATATGTTTTTTTTCTCTTGTATTGTAAAAGAGAAAAAAACATTTTATAATTATATATGAAAATTTTTTTCCCTGGAATGCTTATTTACAAACAGACACTATTACGAGTAAATATTTTAATGCGCGTTTTGTTATTACATTTTTAATTTGCTTTGCAAATATATCTTTTTATGCTATACAGCAGATAAAAAAGATATTATAACACACAAAAAAAGATCGATGTACGAAGAAATAGATTTCTTTTTGTATTAAAGCTTAGCAAATATCTTAATGCTTTTTATTAGGAACATTGTGGTGGATATTTTAGCAAATTTCAGATTTTTCTTCAGAATAATATCAAAAGAAATGTCGAAAGAAGTTATCATTTTGCTTGTAACTTCTCGTTTTGCATATTAAAAGTCAGATTAAAATTCTACCGAAATTTACTTAAGATTAACAAAAGATTTAAAAAAATATTTTTATATAAACATTATATATTATTTTATATAGACATTATATAATAATAATATAATATGATTTTTAATAATATTTTTATTATATATATAATCAAAATAAAAATTCACACACAATCCTTCCTGAGTACGTATTGCCATCACGTGTTCTTCTTCAAGAATCAGATTACGTCAATCCGAATATCGCGGTAAGAGAAGTATAATAATAGTGCGCGGTGGCAATTAGCTATATAATAGTTCGATTAAACACACGTATTGTTAGGGGCAACTTATTGCCGCAACCGACATCGTTGCAGACGACATTGCACACTGCGGCAATCCTCTCCTCGACAACTGTAGGAAGAGAGGAAAAAAAGGAGAGATACTTTTTGAACTCGGTCAAAGTTCGTGTGCGGGAAAAAAAAGAATTAATGCGGGACTTCGCTTTATGAGTCGCGTGTCACTTCTCCCACAGTTGGAATCGCGGTCGCTAAGTGAGACTTCGAGTATCATTTTGATGAATCACGCAACGCGGTAGCGCACATACGAAGACAATTCTTTAGTCACGTCGGAATTTTCCTGACCCTTAAAGATTTCCATTCAACGGGTCTATATTTCTCGCTAATTCCAACCGTTTATTTCAATAATCAAGGCTATGGACTATGTCTCTTATAGGAGATTTCCTTTTTTGGAAACTGTCCTTATTCCTTTGTTCATTTTTTAATTATATCAATTTTAATAATATATTTTCGATAATAAATCAGTCCCTTCAACAATTGAATTATTTTTATATCAGAAAGAAAGAGAGAAAAAAAGAAACAGAGAAAGGAGACAAAAAACAGACAAACTCTATAAAATTTTTCAAAGTCTTATCTCATATAGATACCCATATTTTTCTTTTTTTATTACAACTGTAAAATTTTCTCATTTTCTACCGGATATTAACCGTCTATTACGTGGTGCATATGCATTAAGTTAGCTGATTAGCTTCTTCAATAATTGAGTAATTTTGATATTAGAAATAGAGAGAAAGAGACAGAAATATATAATAGAGATAAATTCTATTAAAATTCTTCAAGTCTTATCTCATATATATATATAGATTATTTTTCTTTTTTTATTACAACTGTAAAATTTTCTCATTTTCTACCGGATATTAACTGCCTATTATGTACATCTGTCATATGCAATAGTTAGCTGATATTCTATTTCGGTCTACACTGCAAACAAACTGCGTTTTGCATAAGAAAATGGTTCCGTTGAAATCTGCAATGTATGCGTATTGCATAGTCAAAAAGGATTTTATATACATATTTACATAAGAGAGAATGGCGCGCTAGTAATCTATATTCCTGCACATTACATATATAGAAGAAATGTAGATATCGCAATATCAGAATATCAAAATATTTACATATTTTTTAATAAGCGTTAATCTTTTTCTCCTTTCTTGTATAAAAATTATTAGATAAGCATTATGTTTATCAGCATATATTTACATTTCTACATATCGACAACCTATCTCTCGTTATTTATTTGCGGTATCCGCCCTCGCATATCAATCAGCATTTAAAAAATATATCGAAACGGTTTATATACCTATATGTTCCTAAATAATGTTAAAACTCGCAGAAAATTTCGTTCTACGCGGTTCAGAC